TCGAACCCGCGGGCTCAGGCAATTCACTCATCTCAGCCTCCCAAAGGCGCGGGATTACAGTCTGAGCCACCGAGCCCAGCTACAAAAAAAAAAAAAAATTTTTTTAATGGCCAAATTTTATTGTATGAATGGGAGAAAAAAGTGGAAAATTGTATTAGCCAAGCCAAATTTTCAAGTCTTAAAAAAAGCTCTATTTGGACAATTTAGAATAAGGAATGACTTTTAGGCAACAAATATTAGTTGAAATTATTCTTTTTGAAGGCCTAGACGAAAAAGCTAAAAAAAGAAAATCTTCCAAGAATCACAGTAATCTGGAAACACTGCATCAAGTACTTAGATTTAGAAAACCTAGGCTCAAATCCTGATTTCACCACCTAGTATTTTATTTTGGTAAATAATCTAAGCTTTTTGAGCTGGTTTACTCACCAACAAATTAGGTATAATCATCTCTGCCTATATCACAGGATTGTTGGTAAGAATTAAGAAATATAAAAATTCTTCATAAATTATTGTACACTAGTTGCTTCATATTACAAATGTGCATAAAGTCCCAAGAGGTTTCAAGCTTTGAAATTCTTTTGTTTAAGCTCCATAATAAATTTTCCCTAGCTTATTTTTCAAGTAGAGAATGTAAAAACTTCAAAAACATTTATTACATTATGTTCTACAAAATATAGTTTGCAAAATTTCAGAAACCTATACTTAAAAAAAAAACCGAAAATATAAAAAACAGCTGAGTTAATTTATTTCTAAGTAGGGTCATCTTTTTAAAGATTCCATTTAACTTGACATTTTGAATAATCATAACTTTTAACTGCACCATTCTTAGAATAATTGTATCTATGATACAAAGCAGTAAGTGATGTCATAAGTTTGTGCCATGAAAACCCAAAAGCAAGATTAACTCCAACCAGAAAAAGGTAGAGAGAGTTTATTTCAGGTAAGCCTTGAATGATTTGGTTGGCGTTTCAGTGGATAGAGATGGGGTGGTAAATAAGAGTCAGGAAAGAAACTGCTGGTCATGATCAATAAAGTGAAAAACGTATACTGCTTATACAGAAAAAGTTAGATACTTGCTGGAGCAGGATGGGAGCATACAGTAAACAGGTTGGGAATAAAGGCGGAATGGGTTGAAATAAATCATGGAAGACCTTGAAAGTCTTACCAAGAATTTTAAAATTTTACCTACAAATGAAACAGATTATCTCTGTTTAATTACTCACCAAAAAAATTCCTTGAGTTTTTATTTAAGGAGAGCCTTTTTAGGAAATATTTCAAGATCTCATATTTAAACGCTGAACCTTAAACATTCTCAGCCTTTGAACCTTGTTATACTTCAAGAAATGTCCCCAAATCATAAGCATATGAGAAACTAAATATAAAACGCTGTGCTCTAGAGATAACAAATACAGACTCCTTCTATACCTAATTCCAAATCAGTTGAGGATGAGTTACTGATTCAACAAACTTTTCTGAGTGCTTACTATATGCTACAAACATACTTAATACAGGAAATGAAAAATGTTTCCAGTCTTTGATGAGCTTACAGTCTAAAGATAAAAACGTGTATACAATGGAATACAAGTGATTAGAGAAGTATATACAAATTGTCATAGGGCAACAGAAGAGGGAATGAATTATCCTATTTGAACACAATTGTAGGGTGGTGGCATTTGAGTTAGATTTTGAAATAAAGTTCAAAAGAAGTGGTGAAAGGGAACAGCATGTGCAAGGCCTGCAGGCATGGAGATACAATGTCCTAAAACCCACTCCACACAACTATCAATGGTCTTGGATTTAAAGTGCCATTCACACTCATTCAACAGTGCAAAAATGGCTCCAAGCTTACTCTGGAGATGAACCAGCACAGAAGTGTTATGATCATTTCAAGTAAAGTACATCCTCACCTAGAGTCTTTGTAGAAGTCTTGACTCTGATTTCTCCAGCCCCCAAAAGGAATGCATCCCGGGGGCTCACAGCAGCTAAAGGAAGCCTCATATACACAGAACCAGTATCTCTTAACAACCCATGGGCAAAGTTTCCAGATTTCCACAAGGACAAGCTCAATTACAAGGGATTACAGAGGTGAATATTTAAATGCATGAATGAATAATTTTATATGACTAAAAAGAGGACAATGGAAAGATAAGGACAGAATATAGGCTGGAATAAGACTAGGATAGGCTCTATATGACTAGTCTAAACCTCTCCCCTCTGGGCATAAAAAGAAAAGAAGCTGATTTCAAGAAGTATCAAACTTAAGTCCTACTTAAGTGACTGGAAATGACTTTTAAAAAAATATATTTGGGCCAGGCTCGGTGGCTCAGCCTATAATCCCAGCACTTTGGGAGGATTACCTAAACCCACAGGTTCGAGACCAGCCCGGGCAACTTGGTGAGACCTCATCTCTACAATTAGAAACACAAAAAAAATTAGCCAGGCATGGTAGTGCACACTTGTAGTTCTGGCTACTTGGAAGGCTGAGGCAGAAGGACCACTGGAGCCCAGCAGGTTGACTTTAGGGTGGCCATAAGTGTGGCTGTGAGCATGCCACTGCACTCCAGCCTGGGCAACAGATTGAGATTCCAACTCAAAAAAAAAATAAATTGTTGTATCTTCTCTAAGAAGGCTTGCTCTATTCACAACTCTCTCCACACCTCTCTACCTCCTCTCACTAACACACACACACACACACACACACACACACACACACACTCCTCTTGGCTGTACTCCCTCTATGATTGTTCTTAGCAGAGAATATTAAAATTGTTCATATGTCCATAAATGACTCAGGAATAAGAGCTGTCATTCATTTTTGTGCCTAGAAAAAATGCCTGCTAGTAATAGATGTTTAAAAAAATTTCCCTGAACTGAAATGACATTCAAATTAACGATATTGTTATTAAAGTAGGAAGACAATTAAGTTAAGCATCAAGCATATGATATGCATGGGGCTTCACACAACTATAAATTTATTTCTAAGAATGGCTCATGCTTCTTTTGTGTGTGTGTGAGTTTTTCTTTATTTTATTATAAAGTGTGGGATGCAAGTCAGGATTAGGTACATAATAAACTATGTGCAGATGAAGTTTGGGGACTTAGTAAAGTGGATAGATTTAGAGTCCATCATACTCAGTGATCTATCACAGAAACAAAGAACTGAATACCACAAGCTTATGTTTCTTAAGAAAAAAAATTACACCTCCATTTAATGAATTGGAAATATATTTAATATAAAATGTTGATATCCTCAAAGCATTATTTGCACATAAATTTAGGAAATGAATTTTAAACAATCTTAAAAACATGATAAAAGACAGTGGTATCTTTGAAAAACATACAAACAAAAAAATTAAGAAATCACAAGATGTCTCATATACTTGCTTTCCTAAAATTAGATGTACAAAATAAGTAAGACACCTTAGAAAGCTTCCCCCAACACACAAATTGGGAATGAAATATTAATTATATCATCTTTATATGAAATCTCCAAAAGACAAACATCTTTAAATATAAAGATGATGACAAAAATCAACAAAAGGACACTAAGGTTTAACCGACAACCTCAATTCACACGATTTGAAATAAAATGTTCAGACTTTTTAGTTTTGTCTTAAATTGCCTTTTGCTTCATTGCTTTACATACAGTTACAACATAAATCCAAAGAGATGCTTAAAACAAGAGATTAAAATGATATTGTTAAAAAGCATTTTTCTTTTCTGAGAAAATACAATATAATCATATCCCCCTCAAAATATTTAACATTAGAAGGTTCTGAAGTGTTATATAATACCATCATTATCACATGAATTCAGAACTGTTACCTGAATATTTAATAAAAAATTAAGCTCCATGAGGATCATAGGTCTCCAAAAACTACAATTTAAAAATATAAAAGCAATGAGAGCAATCTGGCTTTACAGATGAATACAGGGCAAACTGAGCTATAAAATTATATATTTAGTTCTAGCAATCAATAAATAGGACTTTGAGAGGGTTTTTTGTTAAAGTTATGAGGACATCAGTTTTATTTTCTATATTATAGGAACTGTGTACATATATTCTGGGATAACATAAGAGTGAATATTTATACAGCTATACCTCAAACTAAGTTGAGCTACATGTACAATTTTTAAAAATCTATTTTAAACAGTTAAAATTTTTTTTCCAAATTGTACCCTAAACAAATGAACTAAACTCTCACAACCCCACATGATATCAAAAGAAATGGAAAAAAATTAGAGCAGAGTGATTGCATTTATCAATTAAGGATAATAAGCTGAACTTTAAAAGAATGAATTTTTACCATCTTCCTAACATTATGAATGTCTTTTTTTTTTACACCATACAGAAGTGATGCCGTAAATGGCATTTTCTGAAGCCTCAATACTAAATTCTTTATTAAAAAAAAATACACAGTATTCATACTGCATGCTTGAGCTGCAAAGAATAGGATTACAATATGATGTGACTTGTCAACAAATCTGACAAGCACTGGGGCTGGCACCAGGGAGGACCTAACTCCCCTCAACACCCAGTCATGTGGAAGAACAGATCACATAGTTTTATCATCTACAAAAACATTCCCACATTACATATGCTACTGCATAATCCAAGCATATTAACTCAGAAAAATATGAAATATTTATGAAATTTTAATTTCTATCTAATAAGTTTACCTATATCACCTCCATTCCCATACTATCTATGAGATCCCAACAATTCTAGTAATATATCTCATATATTTTAAATATGTCCAATGACTTATAAAACTCCTGCAAGTTATTTTCTTCTCTGTGAGCTGGCTAACACAAATGCTGGTAAGAGGCTTTCCAGTAATCTTAGAGAACATCTGTGTCATGTTTGTACAGATTAACTAGCTACTGCTGCCCTTCTGTTGCTGTAAATGAAGTTTCAAAATGAGCTCTCGAATATCTTCCCGTTTGGTCTTTATTACATGACGAGGAAACCATTTCTCCAAATGAATTGGAAGTTCAAAGTTAACAATAGGATCCTAATGAGAAAAAAGAAAGAATGCAATCACTTTAGCAGCATAATTTCAAGTTTTTTAAATTCCATTTTTATAAAAACATTTAAAACTGCTTACTTTTTAAAAAATAACTTTCAAAAGATATATGTCATATAACATAATTCACCTACAGTATACCATTAAATGGTTTTTAGTAGACTCACAAAATAGTACAACCATAACCACAATCAATTTTAGAGCATTTTCATTATACTGCTAACTTATGTACGCCAAAATTAAATACTATCTGTTCTGCCACAATGCATGTTTAAATGAATTAGTACACACAGAATTGGTAAGCAGAGAATGATTCACAATAATGCAGAAGTCAGGTTGGTTTTATCACAATTTTTCCCAACATGCAATATTTTGAAACTATTAAAACAAAGAGAAGGCCTTAGAAGTAAGTGAAGAATCTTGGATTAAAAATGGAAAATCTTGCCAAGTGCCTTCTTTTCGTGCAAAAAATAGCTGATTTAATGGCTTCAAGAAACACTACATGTTCTATTATATTAAGCTTACTCAGAAAATTGCAAGGTGCAACTGCAAAGACATTTTCCCTCGTGTTTAGAAAACAAAAAAGACTGCTGAAGGAGGCTACCCTTAGATTATGTTTATAAATTTGATGAAATTATTAGCTGTAAGAAGCACTTAGATCTTGAAGAAGGAATTAAGAGCCTCGGGGTGTAAAGCAGAAAGGACAGCCTGATTCCAGGAGCAAATGCCAGTGGGGATTTACTGTGCTAATATTTTTATTAGATGTGAGAGTATTTTCACTAGGGTTTAGTTACAATGCTCCACAGGTTTTGAAAAGTCTGCCTTATGCTCATTTTTTTTTTTTTTTAGCCTAAGCTCTATTATATTAGTACACAAATTTGCAAAACACAAGGTTTTAATTTTTATATTAGAAGTATATTCTATCAATAGAGGCTACACAAAGTAAAATTATGTAACAGACTCAGGCTCTGTGATATAATAAAGTACTCTGAATATTCTAAACATAAAATCAAATCCATTTGGAAAGAATATTGGAGGACTAGAATTACCATCCTAATGAAGTTACTGTGTGGAATAAAACGGGGGGGAGGAGGACCAACAAAAAAAGTGGTTTCCATAAAGCATACCACCTTTTACTACATATTACCATTCCTCCCTATATTAAAAACATTAAAAGGTTACAGCTGCATACCACAACCCATATGCTCCGAGAGTGGCTTTTAGCATTCTTCAAGCAGACTCCTGGTCAAAAATAACCTTCTCCTAAACCATCTTCACAAATAATACTGAAGGACTGAAGCAATGCACTAACCACTCAAAAAGCAAAGCGTGAGTCCTTGCTATTTGAAATTTCTTCTTTAATATTGCTACTGCTCCTACAGAATTTCTGCGAGCTAGAAAATAACAGTCATGTTTGTCATTGTACTTCTCCAGCTATAGTTTCCTGAACTTCTTGAATAAACAGGTCTTCTAGTTTTAGAAAATTCTTTTTAAAATACAGTGCCTAGCCCCTTTTTTCTCTTTCTCTCCAATCCTTCAGGGACTCCAATGACATGTCAATTACACTTTTTTGATTGTGTCACACTTTGCTCTGTTCTCCACATTCTTTTTTTTTCTCCAAGCTATGGCAGGATACTTTCTATTATCCTTACTTTAAAGTCACTAATCCTGCCTTCTGCTGTACACAGTCTGCTAACAAACCCATCCAATAAATTCTTAATTTCAGAACTTCTGTATTTTCAGCACTAGAATATTCAATTAATTTTTTTGTATACTCCATCCCTTCAACCATTTTGTTCATCTCTGATTTCACTTACTCTAAAATATTAATCAAATAATTTTAAAGTTCTTATCTGCTGGTGGGGCATGGTAGCTCATGCCTGTAATCCCCACACTTTGGGAGGCCAATGAGGGAGTACTGCTTAAGCCCAGGCATTCGAGATCAGCCCAGGTAACATAGAAAGCCCTTATCTCTACAATTAAAAATATAGCTGGGTGTGATGGCACATGCCTGTAGCCCCAGCTACTTGTGATACTGAGGTAGAAAGACTGCCTGAGCCTTCTCAGAAGCTCAAGGCCACGATGAGTCATGATCATGCCACTGCACTCTAGGCCTGATGACAGAGTGAGATCCCAACTCTAAAAAATAAAATAACATAACATAACAAAATAAAGTTTTTATCTGCTAACTATAGTAGCTGGATAATCTGTGGTTCTATTTCTTTCTTCTATTTTTAAATCTTGATCACCTATTACATTTTCCTGCCTCTTTGCTTGTCCAGTAACTTGTGATTGTATGCTGATAATTGTGAATAAAAAAAGTTATTTATATTTTCACATACCTTGAGGAAGCTTTCCACATATTGTAGTAAATATACTCCACAATCACTGCTGTTGTCCTGTTTAGGAACTTTAGGGCATAGGTCCACCATGTTTGTTTTGCTGAATTCACGATGAGTTTTATGCTTAACTTCCCACTCTACCTCTAAATACCTAAAATCAACAATGAACAGCATGACTGGAGTAGAAATCTCTTTATCAGTATGTAACATTTTCACACAGGTGGGAAAACATTTGCTGCAAGATGTGTTGTCGCAAGCCAAATCACCAAAGACTGAATTTTAACAGGGAAAACTATTTTGTGAGCCTTCACGAGAATTACTTTAAAGAAAATATATAATGTGATTTTCATACTAAAAGTTGAACTTCTTCAACAACTCAAGTTTCACAACTCAAATATATAGTGATTTATAGTATAAAGTAAACTAACAAATGATTTCAAAAGTTTCACTGTTCATTTTTCCCAGGTCCTACAGCAAATTACATAATTATACACACACATACACACATTATAATGCAAATGTGAAAGTGTTCTCATTTTCTTCTAAAGTGATACTTTTGATAATCACTAATATTTGCAATGCTCCTCTGTAAAATTATACTTTTTGTTCATTTATGAATACAAATTCTGAATTTTCTTTTGATATGATCCTTGAGAAATATTAATACTTGAATGTTAACATAGAAGATATTTATTACTGATTATAGGCCTCATTTAAATATATAATAAAATATAATTCCTAATATAGTCTTTTTAGTAATCATAAGGTAGCTTCAAAATTATTGAGGTTTTAGATAACAGACTGACAAGTAAAACTGTCATTACTTACTCTCGTAAATTCTGAACGGTGTTTTGTATAGAAGCAGCTTTCAAGGAGTCTAGAATGAGAATACATGGCCTACATGAAAAGTAAAGGATAAAATCAAGATTTACATACTTGAATACAAAATACATCTAAATACTTGAAAAATAATTATATTATTATAGCACATACCTACCTTTTACACATTTTCTTTGGTACTGACACATTCGTCTCGGTACTCTGAAATAACATAAATTTTTATGACTTTGCAATTAAAGCTAGTTTGAATAAATTAATATTCAATTACTCCTTTAAAATGTTTTCAATAACTTGGAAATTAAAATTTCAAATAAGAGCTCTATAAATCATCTGAAGTGAGCTCACGTCTTCGTCAAAAAACCATTGAATTAGTTCCTTATACTGGTAAAACAATTGTATACTTTTACATGTGGCCTCAAGTAGTTATGGAGCTTTAACCTGACCTCAAAAACAATCTGGAATTTCAATTACTTCTATTCAGTTATCATCTTTAGCAAAGATAAACAAGTTACTTTAACCTGTCTTTATATACATTTTCTAACTCAATCTATGATGTCAGTACAGACATGTGTTCATTTTGAAGCACGAGAAGCAGAGTATTAATCTATATTAAGGGGAAAGGGTTGGGAAATTTTGTTGTTTTGTGATGTCTGTCTTTGTTCATACACTTGAGAAACAATAGATCATTTTAAACAGATTTATTTAATGCAAACCTTCTCAGTGCCTTCATTATTCTAATATACACAGTGAAACTCTAAGAGAGGAACAGTACACAAAGTTTGCCCAACTTAGAATCTTTTTTATCATAAACTGCATCTTAGAATTAGTATTCTAAAGAACCCAATTTGCAAAAAGTGACATAGAAGCAAGAAGGAACTCTTTTATCCTGCCACTGTGACAGCAGATAAGGAAACCTCCTTCCTCCAAAGGAAGTAACACTCCGTTCTAGTGACAGTATGCTAGGGAGGCTATTGTCTGTACATACAAAAAATTCATTAGGTGGCTATCTTAATCAATTAGAACACTGAATCTTGACTATGCAACCAGTCTAGGGCCCCATATAAAAAAGTGTTAGCAGTAACTATTTTAGCCTAAGGAGTCATATGGATTGACCTTGAGTCTACCTTGAATGATTTTGACCATCAATTTACAATAGGAAGTAGAACATACAATGTGCTTACTAAGATTATGAATTACACTAAGTTCACAAATGGCACAATAGAGAATAAAAGTAAATCTGATACTTAGAAACTAGAAAAGTAGTTAACCAAGATGAACATCAGAGAAGCAACTAAATAAACAAGCATAGCTAACACAAGCTAAATAAAGAAGAAAGATAATTTTCCTTGTTCTCTTTCCCAGTCCCACAAAACTGTCAAAGAATCATAACGTAGCACAATTTAATGAGTCACTCATATCCAGCATAGCCCACCTAGCTGTGCTCTATTTTATAGTTAGCATTATTATGAGTTCTCCTTCCTTTACATCTGTAAAGAACACACTTACTTGGGAATCCTCTGTACTCAAAGATAGTGTTGAAGGAGTATGCAGGTCATTATCTAGTTAGAAACAATGAAGTGATTATGAGTCTGCATTGTATGTTTAATGCAGATAATTTATATAAGTTTAAACTGCAATTTGAGTGCACAGTAGTTTTAAAAAAACTAGGATATATTTAATTTTTTTCATGGTTAATGTTATGAATAAAACTTAACCAATTGATAAAACTGGTAATAGTGGGCTGTTATCAGACAAGACATAAACCTCAGAGCCAAAATTTGAGTTATCAGTTAGCTGGACCAATTCCCTATAAAAAGGCAATCTTCAAAGATAGCTCCTTAATCAAAATGCCTGCTGATTTAATGAGGAAGGCAGTTGATTTGCCTAGTAATGGGTCTATGACCACAGAGTTTTGAGTAAGTACATGTGTGAAGTTTAAGAGAATTAGAAAGAATTGAAAATAATCAGTGGCTTTATCAATTTTTCTTTCTTCCTCCTAGGTTTTGGCCAGTATTAAGGGTAAGGTAAGTATTAATGGTAAAATTAATTTTCCTTGCTGCTTAGATTACAGCTATAAAACAATTTTGATTTTTTTCCTCAAAAAAAGTAGGCTTATTTGTTTACTTAAGATTTGGGGTTATAACGTAAGAAAAATCATGGAAGAATTACAAGAGATCCTATATTAACTGGATTCTAGCCAAGTTACTCAAATCTACAAGAAATGTATGAATTATATTAAGTAAAAGTGGGGGATTTCAAGCTATGCCTAAAAATTTATGGCATGAATTCTTAGCCATGTTAGCAAAGTTATTCTATAAAAAATACCATAGATTTAGTCATTCTACAATGTATATATATCTCAAAACATCAAGTTGTACACAGTAAATATATACAATCCTATGTGTCAGTTAAAAAAAAAATTATGATCATGCATGTTGCATATGCCTATAGTTTCAGAACTTTGAGAGGCTGAGGCAGGATTGCTTGAGGCCAGGAGTTCAAGACCAGCCTGGGCAATATAGAATGATCTTGCCGGTTCAAAATTTTTAATTTTTTAAAAAATTAGTCAGACATGTTTGTGCATGCTTGTAGTCCTAGCTACTCAGGAGGCTGAGGCAGGAGGATTGCTTGAGCCTAGGAGTTTGAGGTTATAGTGAGCTATGGTCACGCCACTGCACTCCAGCATGGGCAACAGAGTGAGACTCTGTTTCTAAATAATAATAAATTTTTTTTTTTAATTTTGTAAAAAGAAACAAAAAATGGCAAGGAGAATAATAAATCAAAAATTACATGGGAATAAACATCAAATTTAGAACGGTGGTTACTTCTGAAGAAAAAGGAATGGGAAGGGTCACAGGGAAATTCTGATTATATCTTGAAGTTTAATTTCTTAAGCCAGGTGAAGAGGATACTGGTGTTGGTCATGTTAGTTATACTTTTTTAATGTTTGAAATGTTTCATAACAAAATCAAAAATTAATTTTTTTTTTTTTTTTTTTTTTGAGTCAGAGTCTCACTCTGTGGCCCAGACTGGAGTGCAGTGGCCGCTTCCGGCCACTGCAGCCTCGATCTGCTGAGCTCTGACAATCCTTCTGCCTCAGCCTTCCAAGTAAAAATTAATTTTTAAATGCTATAATAAAACTGATATTACTGTAAACTTAAGAATTACATTTTGTCTATACATGAGACTGCATGTCTATCATAAAAATTTCAGATTTTTTATTCTTCATTCTAGTAACTTTATGATAATAAATAACTATGCTACCTTAACTTCATTTTGTTCCCTGTATCAACAGTACTATTGTCATTATCATTAAAAACACCATCTACATTAAGGATGTCACCTATTGTTTTGCTGTCATGTTGGGAATGCTGAGCCTGGGCCTGCTGGGATACAGTTTGTGGAAAATCTTCATACACAGCTTCTTCTAACCATGGAAAACAAATGACTGCAAGATACCAGTGAGACCTGTTGAAAAAGAACTGCAGTCTTAATAACATGCAAAGTCTAAGCAATGTAAAGAATATATTCTAGAGTTACATCTGAGAAAGTGGGTATGACAAACTTCACATTCATTTTGAAGACGTCCATCATAATATCTGGTTATAATATAGAGCACATATTCCAAAACTAATTAAGTATCCAAAGTTATCAATGCATAAGTAACACTATTTAGGGTAACATCTGAGTAATTCAAAGTTATTTATTTTTACTTCCTTACTTTCATTATTTTTACACAATCATGTTTCCTAGTGAGGCTCTGCCTTAGTAGACAGACTCATAGCATCACCTTTTTTGTATTAGTGCTTAGAGTTTGTCCTCTTAAGTATCTGAAGATTCACCCACGTTTTGATTTTTTTTTAAGAAATATTTTCTTGAATCAAAAAAAAAGAATTCAATGTCTCAATCATTATAGTCTTGTGGTCATTTGTCATTTTATTTTTTTTCACTACTTTTACAACATAACCATTGTCAAACCCAAATCTAAGATAAGTAACTCGTTGTAGCCACTTTTATTTTTAAAAATTTTTTAAATATCTGAGATTTATGTATGCATACTTTTTCCTTATTATTAATCTAAAAATGCCACACAATATTTTTTTTCTGAACACTCTGTAATTTGCTTTTAAATAATCTGAAATACTTACGACTCATTTACAGGTACAAAGATGTAATCTTTATTAAAAATGCTTATGTGACGAGTCCATGTTCTTACTCTTTTATGTCTTCTCTGTGCCATTCTGGAAAAATGAAAGATAGATAAATTTGATTTGTAACACATTTAAAATTTAATATAAGAACTTCAAGGGTCATATATATAATGAAAAAATGTTAGGTTTAGTTTATTTAACCATTTTCTTCAAGATATGTAACATCTAATACACTAAAAAAAATCCCTTTTGATCTTATTAACTCCTAGTAGTGCTTAAATGTAATAACTATCTATTAACAATAATGAAATGGACAGAATAAAGGCAGAAAATTTGTTAAATGCTCTGCAAATTCCAAAAGTGGCTCAGCAATTAAGTATAAGCACAGCTAAGCCTATTTATTCTGCTTAATTTCCTCCAAGGAAGATATAGAACATTGCCGTTAAACCTTAACAGAATTTTCCAAGTGTTCTATCTGTGATGAGGATGGTTTTAAAACTTAATTGGGTAGGCATGGAGGCTTGCACTTGTAATCCCAGCTACTTGAGAAAATGACATGGGAGGATCATTTGAGCCCAGGGGTTCAAGACTGCTGTGAATACCACCACTACACTCCAGCCTGGGCAACAGAGTGAGACCCCGTCTCTAAAAAATAAATAAGATGAAATAAACAAAACCTTAATCGAGGAGAAAAAATGATGCTTTTACTCTTAGATTTTAAAAAACATAACATCTTCCTTTCATGCATAAAGAAACTACAGGACAAGGAGATTAAGTTTACCCACCAATCATCCATCTTTCTATTTCTTCAACAAATATTTATCAGGCTCCTAAGAACAAATAATGAAAATCGCCTACATTGCCCTAAATAAGAATTCATAATCTAATGAGGGCAGAAAAAACTACAACAAATAACTAAAATTTGTGTCATACAGGATACAAAGGAATTATGTTAAAGCATCTAAGACAGTCACCTAGAACAGGGTTGGCATGCACACACACAAATACTAGTTTCTCTTCTTTACCTAAAGAAGTTAAGGAAGGAAGACATCAAACCAAGTTTGAATGTCAAAAAAAAGGTTTTAGGAAGGAAATGGCATTAACAGGGGCCTCCTTTATGGAGGCAGTATGTGACTTTTGGCTCAGACCCTTGGAAAATAGTCTTTATGCAGGGAAAAAAAAAATCATTAGGTTCTTCTATACTTATTATCAAGTAATATAGGAAACTGACATCTTTGGCCCAACTTGTTCATTTAAATAATATCTAACAAAACCATATGGATAAACATTAAGAGTAACAAACAATTATTGCAAAACCATAAGAAAAGGACTATCAGTAGTGGGAAATTGCTGGGGGGGATGGGATTGGCAGTAGTGGGATTCTGCTGGCAGTGGCACACCTCATCAACAAGAGTACCTGCATAATGAACATTTGTATACTTAACCCTGAATTGCACTCCACATATTTAAAATTAAAATTTTTTTAAAAGGGTAACATAAGGTCTAGAATTAACTAAAAGATGTGAAAGGGATTAGACACTATGTAGAAGATTAACTACATAAAAAAATCATGAGTCCCATATCTATTGAATTTTCTCATTTCAGAAGGTTCCAAGCATTATAATAATTATGAACAATTACTTTCAATGAGTGCATACTCTGTTCATTTGTTTTCTATTTGAAAATCTTTAGGATAGACACCTGGTTTTATGTTGGTGTTTTGTAGATTTCTTGGTTATACTATATTTGGTTGGGAACATATTAGTCATAGAATGTAGCAAGAAGAAGACAATATAAGGGTCACATATGATCTCTTATTCCCAATTCCTAACTGTGTAGAAAATCCTGAATTAAATGTCTAACAGTTCTCTCAGTATTCAGTAAGAGGTATAATATCTTCTATTTGGAGTTTCTAATATATTCTAAGCACTGCAAAGCACTGGGGATAGAATGTAAAATAAGGCACATGAAATCCCTGACCTCATGGATCTTAGTATGAGAAACAGAAAATGAACAAGTAACAATTACACGAGACAGTGTTGTGAAACAAGGAAGTGCCAAGAGAATGTTTCAGGAGGAAAAGAGGAAAGAGCTTTGCATATTTGAAAACAGAAAGGAAACAGGTTGAACTGAAGTATGGTAAATGAGAGGAGAGAATGTTGTGAGATGAGTTTAGGGAGATGAAAAGAAGCCAGATCTTGCAGGATCTCATAAACCGTGGTGAGCTTGTGTATCATTTAACCTGTAGCTTCCTAACCCTAGTAGTTTAAGGCTTTTGTTGAGGATTTACTGGCCATTAATTTTGTATCTCTTGCTACTCTGCTTCTGGGTTATCTTGGTTTATTGTTTTTTGTTTTTTTTACTGATTCATAAGGGATTCTTTGAGTAAATATTAATGCTTGGTCTGATATCAAACTGTGTGAATTCTTAACAGACCATGCGTAGTATCATAGTATGCACACATTATGTGAATGTGTAAGTGTGTGTGCGTGTGTATGTGTGTGTGTGTGTGTGTGTGTGTACTGTACCTTAACCTCTCTCACTCTAGAGCAGGTCCCCAATCCCCAGGCCATGAATGAATAATCAGTCTGTGGTCTATTAGGAACTGGGTCACACAGCAGGAGGTGAGTTGCAGGTGGGCAAGTGAAGCTTCATCTGTATTTACAGCCACTCCCCATCACTCACATTACTGCCTGAGCTCCACCTCCTGTCAGATCAACTGTAGCATTAGATTCCCATAGGAGCATGAACCCTATGGAGAACTTCACATGTGAGGGCTCTAAGTTGTGTGCTCCTTATGAGAATCGAATGCCTGCTGATCTGAGATGGAGCTGAAGTGGTCATGCCAGCACTAGGGAGTAGGTGCCAATATAGATTAACATTAGCAGTGAGGTTTGACTGCACAGAGACAGACCATAATAAATCAATTACTTGCAGACTCATATCAAAACCCTATCAGTGAGTGGCACGTGAATAGACGTATTCAACTGTACAGTCGCATCTGGTGGCAGGCTTTAAGTCAGAATTTTATTATAGTCCAAATGTGGCCTACCCATTATTCTATTGGCCACTTCCATCTGCGTTTCTTTTTGTTGTTGTTGTTGTTGTTGTTGTTGGGCGAGTCGTATAATTATTTCATTACATATTGCCATATAATAATAATAGAGGCCAGGTGCGGTGGCTCAAACCTATAATCCCAGCACTTTTGGAGGCCGAGGAGAGAGGATTGCCTGACCCCATGAGTTCGAGACCAGCCTGGGCAACACAGTGAGACCCCGTCTCTACAATAAATCAAAAAATTAGCTGGGCATGGAAGCACACGCCTGTAGTTCCAGCTAAATGGAAAGTTGAAGTGGAAGGATTGCCTGAGCCCAGCAGGCCAAGGCTGCGGTGGCCAGGGCATGCCACTGCACTCCAGCCTGGGTGACAGAATGAGACTCCAACTCAGAAAAAATAAAAATAGAAACAACATGCAGAATAAATGTTATGAGCTTGAAAAATCCTGAAACCATTCCCTGCCTTCCCCTCTCCACTTCGGTCTGTGGAAAAACTGTCTTCCACGAAACCAGTCCCTGATGCCAAAGAGGTTGGGGACCACTGCCTTAGTGTATTCCACTCAGATAACTTTGTTTTTCTTATTTTCTATGTAATCAGGTATATCTTTTTTGAATACAGCAAAATCGACCTACTTTCATTTCTTTAGTTTTAAAGTGAGTATGCCAAAGTCACAATAAATAATCTTAAAACAAAATGTGGGATTAAGTGTATGGCACCAGCCATCAACTTCTGTATGTCTAAAATAGAACAAGAAGGCATCAGAAATGTTAACTAAAGAATTTATTTAATAAACCTTCCTTTTCTATATATCCTTCTCTGATAACCCTTATTCTCAGGAATACTTTCAAATTCGGATTTTCTTCTTAATTGATCTGGGCAGGCCCTGCCCATCAGCACAAGTTCCAAACTTGTAAAGATACTCAAAATATAGCTGACCATACATCCAGTTTACCTAGAATTGCCTCATTATATACACTAGTTGCCCAGTGTAACCATTAATAGAACCTTCTGTTATTCTCACAAGTGTCCCAATTTAAACCATAAGTTATATAGTCCATAATTTAAACCATAAGTTATAAATTACTATGAACAACAGAAACAGTTGAACTTTGAAATTGGAAAGCTATAGCCAACTTTGGAAAACTTATTAAATTTCTTTAAATCTCAGTTAATAATGACATTTATCTCTCTCAAGAATATTGTAGAATGAAATAAATAGCAGGCACTTAGTAAATATCATTAGTCTCCCTATTCCTACTCTCTCTCTCCAACAATACAACAATTCAAGCAGTTTATCCATTTAATCCTCTTCTTACTTGTTTATTATTTCTATTGTCTTCATGAAAAGAAACAAACCCTCATAGCCATTTTTTTAAGGTGGTCTAGTACAATGGAAACTCTGGACTAGAGGTTAAAAGATAGAGATTTAAATACCATAAGTTCTGCCACTAACCAGCTGTTCAACCTAAGTCAAATTTTAAAATCTTTATTAGACCGCTTCCTCATTTGGCAAATTGGGACAAAATTTGTGAGAAATGGCTTTCATGGTAAACAGACCCAGGACCTGCAAGAGTAGTAACAGTGCCCACTCTAAGTACTATAAAGAAGCCAATTCACTAGGAACATCAAAATAGTGTATTTTCTCTTAAAAACATAAGTAATTAAGTACATTAATAAACTTACGAAAGATTTGGATTATCTTCTGTTAAATTATTCTCCTTTCTTGTCAAGCATTTATAGAAAAAACTACTAAAAATGTGACTTCGTTCAACAAGTTCATCTGATGCCTTCTCCAGTATAAGATACCTGTAAAGTAGTAATCCCACAAAAGTAAATTATTTTTTCATTTAACTAGGTCTTCCCCTAATTAGTTTATATATTCTGGAAATCTTCATTTTTTTATATCCATTTAGATTCAAAGCAATCTTACATTTTCCTCTGATTTCAGCTTTCAACTTGTTCTTTAGATACCTCACTTTATCATTTAAAGCAGAAATTGCCCACTTATTTGTTCACTTCACAAAAATTTATCAAATTCCTAACATATGCCAAAGACCATGTTTACACCAGAGATACAAAACAAGAACGGAAAAATAAAGTACTTTCCCATGTAGAGCTTACAATTCAGAAGAGTGAGGACAGAAGAAAAAATTAATCAAATAATCACACAATAAAATGTAAAACTGAAACTATGACACTTCTAAGTAAATCTAGAAAAATTTTAATGAGATATGACTAATCTTTAAATTCTTAGGTCATTTCTATACTATTACTATTTCTATACTATTACTATGATAATTAGAAAACTGGATTTATCTTTTGGAGAGCAGCCCCCTTGTAGTACACTCAGAATTTGTTTCTCTAGACCAAAAAATGGTCAACCAAAGTTTTTACTAGAAGTTTTGAGAAGGTTGTGTCACGATTTGTGGAAGAAACATACCAAGTTGTGG